TCTGGGGCCAAAATGATTTAGTGTATGTGGTGCTGAAGTGAACACATCAAAGCTGATTTATTTATTTATTTTTGGCAGAACTAGGGATTGAACTCAGGCCCTTGTGCTTGCCAGGGAAGCGCTTACGCTTATTCCACTAAGCCATCTCCCCGGCCCAAAGCTGATTTAAATAAGTCCCTCCAATTCAAAACACAAACTGGAGAGTTCTAAACAAAAGACAGTATGTGAAAGGCTCTCTAAACATTCAGTGGCCACCTCAAGAGCTAGTGTAAAGGAGGTAACGTGAACTACAGGCAACTTTTTCTTCAGTGTGCTGAGAAAATACTGGACTCACTCAACTCTATAAGGTAATTTATTGTATATACTTTTTTAAATAGCTTTTTTGGAGACAGTCTCACTATGTAGTACAGGCTGGCCTTCAACTCAGTGATCTTCCTGCCTTTGCCTCCTGAGTGCTGGGATTACAGTCATAACCACACCTTGCTATTGTATAGTTTTAAGTACCTAGATAGAATATTTAACTTTTTTAAAAAACCTCAATGTTGTTATGAAATTCCCACTAAGAAATCCAGCTGTTATGCCTGACCAGTTTCCTGTGCTTGGCTCCTGTCTGGGCAGGCTGGCTGGAAATGAGGCTGGAAATGTCTGTCCCTGGGGAACACCCTGTCATTCACTCAAGGCACCAGGAAAATCACGGCCTCCAGCCAGTCTGTTGGGGACATCTAAAATGTGGAGCGTCAACATGCAGAGTTGAGGACACCCTGTGAGCTGGTTCTGCCTTCCTGCTCAGCCTTGGGACTGCGCCTTCCTGCCACTTTATACTAGTTTTGCCCCACTCTGTAAGGGACAGTTTTACTCATGTTTATGAAAAAAACTCCATTATATTTCATAATAAACCCCTCATTTTACCCAAAAAGAGTACATGACTATGTTCTTTTTCGTTTTGTTTTTTTTCCAAACAAGGTCTCGCTATCCAGTTCAGGCTGACCCTGAACTCACTATATAGCTGAAGCTGGCCTCAACTCACTGTGATCCTGCCTTAGCCTCCCAAATACTGGGACTACACGCATGCATCACTACACCTGTCTTCATGACTATGTTCTGTTCTTCAACATGATTTACAATAAAATAGATGGGGTTAAAGACAAGAAGCAAATTAGTTTCCATTTTTATTAAAGCTGTGTATTTCTAGGGAATATAGTACACTTAAAGTTCAATACCATAAATAAAGAATAATTCTCAGATCTTCTATTTGACTTATTAAAAATGCAAACATAAAATAATTCACTGCTCCCTCCCTATATATATATATATTTTTTTTTTTCTTTCTCTCTCTCTCTCTCTCTTCACAGTGAAAAGCAGACTTTCCTGAAACACTTTAGTCCACTGGGCTGCAAGGCCATGGCAGGAGTGACAAGTGCCACCTACAGCACCCTATGCAGCTATCCTGGGAGTTGGGCTCTTTGTCCCTTCGGTGCCCAAGGAGCACAGGCCACTGTGATCAGAACCACGTGCAGGCAGGCACAGTCTGGGAACTTTTGGATGAGGGTCAGGCATGGGACATCAGAGCTGGAAGGACTCCTGGAAGTCCCCTCGCTGTGTGTCTGGTGGCCTTCATGAGGGAACGGAACAGTGCTAACACTGTTGGGAATGCTCTGCTATGCCTATTGATGCCTAAACATCGAACCCTCATAAAACTGTTTCCACTTCCAACAGCAATAAACTCCAAGTCAACACAATGGAAACTAACGTTAAGCAGGATTTACACATAGCATTTTCACAATGTCTGGTTGGTCTTAACAAACATCCTGTGGAAAAATGTACAGGTTATCGATTCTAGAAATAAGTCAGCAAAAGGACCGTCTTCCTGGAGCAAAGCAGGACTTACATGAAGCTGGCCTGACTGCTCACCAGCTCCAGGCCGTGACATGTCTTTGGCTTCTTCCCATGAACCTTGTTCTGGAAACCCTACAACAAATTCATGTGATACTTTTGATAACTGGGACCTTCAAACAATCCAAGTGAACCTAAGTTGGATCTGAAAATTGAGGTAGTCTGTACCAGCTCCTGACCTCTTCTGAGATGGGAAGGGACTCCTGTAGTATTCTATCCCTAAGCCAGCACTCATCTTTTGTCTTTGTCCCTGTCACTTCCACACTGCAACCCATGTGCTCTTGTGTAGGGACTGGTCTGGTCTCTGCTGACACAAAGGGCTGGGCTGACACACAGTACCAGTGTCATGACACTTCAAATTCTTCATTCACAACTGAATTCTATCCCAATAATTCTGTATCGAAATCTCAGATTTTATTTATTTATTTATTTATTTATTTATTTATTTATTTATTTATTTATTTATTTATTTGCTTTTTTTTTTTTTTTGAGCGGTTACTATGTAGTTCAGGCTGGCCTTAAACTATGTAGCCCAGGTCGCATCTGAACTCACAGTGGTCCTCCTGCCTCAGCCTCCTGAGTGTTGGGGTTAACAGGTGTGCATCACTATGCCTGCTTTGAAATCTCAGATTTTAGAAGCTTCTGCTTCGTTATCATATTCTAAGTGACTCAAACGTGCCTCTTACCATTTGTTACAGCTCAGTGTCTTGCTGAGACAGCCTCGTGCAAGCCTTACTAACAGGACACAGGTGCTGCTGCAGTGAGGGCCTTTGGGAGTTCAAGGGTCCTTGAAATCAAGTTTCACATCTGTGCAGAAAAACTCTGGGCCACCAGATTCCAACCTTAATAAATATATATACAAAAAAAGTCATCTATAATGTTTTCTCCAAAGTCATTATTAGTGCAAATATATCAATAAAAAATAAAGCAAAAATATATTTCAAGTATAAAAAGCACCATACTTGGAAACAACACGACCTAAAGGGTATCACTGCACAACAGTCACAATGCAGCCGGGCTGGTGGCTGCAAGTCTCAGTGAATTGCGAAGCCATGCCACTTCTGGTGCATTGTTTTAATGCAACTTTGGGAGACGATCTGTAACTGTTAATAGGCATGGAAGTCAAGATTATGTTTCCTTAAAACTCTGCCTTCATTCTCCTCTGAACTTGTACAATTTAAAGTCTGCACAACACAGTCTGCACAACGCAGGCAGTGCTGGAGCACCAGCCGGAGGATCACCCTACCCTGTAGCCTGGTGCCCATGAGGCTGGAGGGTGCCTCTCTATGGTACCACACGGTACTTCTGCCCAGTATTACATACAACATGTACATTACTTTTGATTTTTGAGACAGGGTTTTGCTCTATAATTCAGGCTGACCTTGAACTCACTTGAGCTAGCAGTAATCTTCCTGCTTCAGCCTCCTAGAGTGCTGGGATTATAGACATGCACCACCACACAATGCCTCAGTGTATGCATTTAAAAAATGACTGTTTTATGCTGAGGCTACTATCTGGCTCTTATGCCACGTAGCCATTGGAATTACACCCTAGTAAGAAATATACTGCTGAGCTCACTTAGCATATTTTTTTTTTCTTTTGGCAATAATGAGGATTGAATCCAGGGCCTTACCTATAGCAAGCATGCAACACACCACTGAGCTACATCATCAGTCACCCACCACCTACTTTTTTAAGACAGTCTTGCTAAATTCCCCAGTGCTAAATTTACTGGTTTTGAACCTGTGATCCTCCTGCCTCAGCCTCCCAAGTAACTGGAACTATAGGTCAAACCACCACTCCTGGGCAATAACTTCTTCACTGCAATATTCCATAACTACATGCTGAATGGAAGGGAGGGCCTATTTATAATGCCACAGGGATTCATTAGCTTCTGAGGGGAAAACAGAGCAGCACCCATCAGGGAAGAATTTCAGAGCAGCCAAGTGTGACGGTGCATGCCTGTAATCCTAGCACTCTAGGAGGCTGAGGTAGGAGGACTGCAAGCTCAAGCCGACAGTGTCTCAAAATAAATTCAAAAAGGGCTGAGGCTGTAGCTCAGTGTGAAAGCCCCAGGTTCAATCCTTAGCAGCTCCATCACCACCAAAATCATTACCATGATCATTACAGTAAAATGATTAAATGGGGTGGGTGAGTTCTGCTACCACAAGAGAACTAACTGCCTCGAGTGCACAGTACAATGAGAGCCAAATACAGGAGGAAACAGACACTGACAGCGCAGGCGACCTTCCGGCCTCTGTGGACAGAGCCCGTGTTAGGGGCAAGGGAGCCTTACAGAGTAGGCCTACAGGAGGCCTGTGCCCAGCTATTAGTAAACACTCAGAAGAAAAAAACCAAAAACCTCTCAGATCATCCCATTTGGCCTGGTTTCTTCTTATCCATAAAATAATTTTCAGATGTACAAAGTCCTTCTGTAACAATTTCTTAGCCTACCTGAAAATAATTCCATTCCTGTCTGCATCAGGATTTATCTACACCAAACAAAACAGAATACAGTAGCTCTGTGTGTGCTGGATTCCAGCTGTCACAGTTATTATCTGGCAAAATAACGTTTTCTTGTTTGCACATCTTCCCTTTTTTTCAGGGCAGCATATTTCACCCTCCCTACTGTGAGGGGTTTTCAAGTCACCGGTAAACAATGGCAAGGGCAGGTGGACGCTGAGCTCGGCGGGGGGTGAAGCTTGAGACTGCACACAGCGCGTGCTGGCAGAGAAGGCAAGCTTGGTTAGTTTGCAGGATTCGGTGAGAGTGCTGAAAACTTTAACCACGATGAAAACAATGATTTAGGTGTAACACAGATACCACTGCATTTAAAATAGATGTAACAGTGTTACAGAAATCCCAACTGAATTGTTTTCTGTAAATCTAATGTATACCTCTGAGGACAAGTTTCACAAGTTATAATTTTGTTTTGCCTTGTAGGGTCTTACTAGACAGTTTAGGCCGGCCTCAGACCCGCCGCAGCCTCCTGAGGGCTGGGATTACAGGTGTGCACCACCACATCCGGCTTTTTTGTTTGTGAGACAGGGTCTCAAGGTATTACAGTTCAGGCTGGCCTTGCACTCATTACGGAGCCCCAGCTGGTCTTGAACTTGCAGTGATCCTCCTGCCTCAGCCTCCTGGATGCTGGGATTGCAGGTGTGCACCAGCGTGCTAACCTTCCACGAACCAGCCGCTGTCTGTGCTGTGCGGTGTCAGCGATGAGCTCACCCATCCCTGCAGCTTAGGAGAGATGCTGAGGTTTGTGATCGCTCTGGAAAGCCGCTCACACCCGCTTTCGCTGTAGCAGGGAGATTGCGCATCCCGAGAGCACAGCGACTTGGTGACTGGGTTTTCTTCTCCTCCTCTGAGCGCCAAGGCGCAGCAGCTGGTCAGAGACTGCCGTGCAGCTCTGCTGCCGCACCTGATTCTGACCACGGTCATCTGCATAGGCTAGCACCCGCCCAGGTGTGTGCACTGGCTGCAGCAGTGTGACACTCAGGCTCCTCTGTTCCTAGTGCCACACGCACAGCAGGATTCCGGCCAGCACAGGAAGCAGGTTGCCCAGCAGCAACCACAGGGTGGCCACCAGGCTGGAGGAGCAGGAGCAGAGATCTAGGGTGGAAAAGAGTAGCATGACTGTCAGGAGACTCTTCCACGAAGAAATCACAGCAGCTGCACCTGACAGGCGAGGAGCGGGGACGGGGGGGGGGGGGCTAAAGAGGGATTTCAAGGTCCTGAGGTCAATCCCTAGTACCACTAAAAAACAAAAACAAAAAAAAACCCCTTTACCTAGACCTGGATATATAAAGGTTTGTATATTATGGAAATAAGATATACACAGGAGGAAAAGATGTACCGTCTGGGGCCAGCCAGATAGCTCAGCAGCTTAGAGCAGAGGCAGGGGCCAGGGTTTGATCCCTGGCATGCAGTGCTAGCCCGCCCCCGGGGTGCGCTGAGACAGCGACTGAGACTGGGCGTGGTGGCGCACACCTGTAATCCCAGCACTTGGGAGGCTGAAAACAGGAGCAGCACTATGAGTCCGAGTGTAGTGAGACCCTGCACTAAATACATTAAAAAAAAAAAAAAAGTATGTACCCTCTGTGTCAAGGTTACAAAACAGCACCCAGGTAAAGACGTGTCTTAAGGTAGAATCCAGGGAGGCTGTGGACGACACACAGAGACATGGATCCCAAAGGAGCAGGGGCCCTCTGCTATTACTCCTCCTGTCTCTGGCATGTAGAGTAACGACATAACCTAGCTCCAAACCGAGAACACAAAGGAGCAGTCTCACCTTCCAGGGCACCTTCTCACAGCCCCATGGGGCCTGGCTTCCTCCTCCTCTTCTACATTCTCCAACTTCCCTCCCAAGTCTCACCCTCTCTTCTGCTTCCTCCTCACCCTCCTCCTCCTTTCTTACACAGTGCTGGGGATTGAACCAAGCACTCTACCATCAAGCTGAAATACACCCAGAGCTCTTTCATATATCTATATACAATATATGTATATATGTTTTTTTTTTTTTCCCTGAGACAGGGTCTGTTCATATAGTGTGGGCTGGCCTTGAACTCACTATATAGCCCAGGTTGGGCTCTAAAACTTATCCTCCTGCCTCAACCTCCCAAGTGCTAGGATTAGAGGTATGTGCCACCATGTCCCACTTTATTTTTGTTTTGAGACAGGATTACTAAATTGCCTAGGCTGGTTTCAAACTCCCAGGTCCTCCGGCCAAGAGGCTGTACAAGAAAAAAACAGGGTATCACTAAAGCTGGACAGCAAAGGAGACGTGACAAAAATCTTGGACCACATGCAGAGAACAGTTCCCAAAGCCCTGCATGCAGACTTCTCGTAAGAACTTGAACAGGCTTTTGATAGGATAGCTGAGACCTGACCTCAGCCTGAGGAGTGGGGGATACAGAGCTTGGCGTTGTGTGTTCTTTTGCTTAGTGGTCACCTTTGTGCTACAGTATATACTTTTATTTGGGCCAAATTCACTTTGTGGAGCCTGTTTCTTTTGCTACCATTTGTATTCGTCCTAACCAACTCTCTGCTTAGAGAAGGACAGAAGGAACCTAGAGAGCGCTTCCAGCAGGAGACACCAGTACCCCAAAGGCCACTCTCTGGGAACCATTAGCTGGGATTAGAGGTGTGCACCACCTCAGCCTGAGTTTCTCACAGTTAATCTAAGGACAGGAACTCTAAACTATTTGTGGACCTATAGCCTTCTAATTCTAGCCAAAGCAATTTAGCAATAATATTGTCTTCCTACCATCTTAAGAGTTAACTGAGCATATTTAACATCATATTTACAGTACACCGCATCAAAAGACCTAAGACCCTGTATTATTTCATAGAGCTCAATGTGTCATTATTATAACTACAGAAAATCCAGCTGCGGGAGGTACTCTGTAGTAAAGAGTCAGAATGCAGCAGGCCTGAGACTGCTACCCTAGGAGTTCTTGCACAGCTGATCCTGAGCTACTATACTGTTTTTCCATCCCACAGACCTCATCCTTGAGCACAGGCTGCGGATGCCCAGTATAAGCACTGGTCTTCCCACACTCACACTCTGCTCACAGCCCCCTGGGGACAGAGTCTCCAGGACCCAGGAAAGAAAGGAAATCAGTCTCAAAGGTACAAAAACCCACCCTAGTTGGTTATTTTCAACTAGCCCCAGCACAGGCAAAGAACAATGCAGTTTCATTTTAAAAATACCTCAGGAGCTCAGCATGGTGGTGCACACTTATAATTCCAGCACCCAGGAGGCTGAGGCAGGAGGGATCACTGCAAGTTAGGGACTAGCCTGGGCTATAAAGTGAGCTCAAAGCAAGACCCTGTCCAAAAAGGTCAAAAACAAAACAAAACCAAAACAACCCGCAGGTGAGAAAAATGCGTAAGGTTTTCATTGCTACTATTCTAAAATGCTAACCTGCTCGACTCTCGAGGTCCCTTAAGTCTCAGTTTTGGTTGAGAACTCATGACTTGCCCAGTGATTTTAGCAAGGTCCCCAGAAGTCTCAGTCCAAACCCCATGGATCCAAAGCCCTCTTCCTTCCCCAGCTGGTGCTAGCCTCTCTCCTCCTGGTTTTCAATGAACTCAATGAACTCTGCCTTCTGAGGATTTCATTTTTGGGTCTCAATTTTACCTTACTTTCATAGACCAAGCAGAAGGCCCGTGCACCTTTGTCCAAATCCTACAATCCAGTGTATTACAGAGGCTGAGACCGCACAGAGCTGAAGTCACAAGAGGAACACTCTGCACGTGGGCTGCTGGTGCTGCATCAGAAACACAGCACACTCCCCCGGCCCAGGGCACACAACACAGATGTGACCTTCACACTAACACTGGGGTCTTGGTCCCAGATGGTCCCTAGTATTGAAAAGAGCCTGAAATCCTGCAGGCCTGGCCCAAAGCAGCCCAGACAAGGGTTTCCTAGACCCTGGAGAGCATCTGTCTTCCCCAGGCTCCATCCTTCCATTTCGGCCGTGTCTCTATGTCTCCAGACACCTGTCTCTGCAAGGACGACATCTCTCATGAGAGAACCTACTCTAGGGTTTTCCCCTCACCTGCACCTGACTTGCTTATGAGGCAATGGAAATGTAGTTAACTGCTTCTGGATTTAATGAGCAGAATTTTGTTGACTCTTAATTTCAAGATGAATGGATGAATCATTTACTTTGTGACCTTCCCTGGGATATTACATGCAAGTCAGGCTAGCACACAGCAAGTCTGCTTTTGCTAAATAGATGTGCCAGGTTCACCTACCTTCCATTTCTTTTCTTTGTTTTTTTTTTTTTTGAGACAGGATCCTACTGCATAGTCCAAGCTGGCCTTGAACTCACAGTCCTCCTGCCTTAGCCTCCCTAGTGCTAGAATGAGAAGCATGTGCCACCACTCCCACATGGATTCCTAATTCTGGTGGGAAGAATGCTCTCCCACAGAACTGCCCTGGAAAGGAAGCCGGACTTGCACCCAGCTCCACTGGAGGCAATTTCCATGCGCTGCTGTCGCCTCCTGCAAAGAGCACTCACCAAGGGGCAGTGCCCGGGTGAGGTTGGCAACCGGAGGGTCGGTTTCTGGAGGGCACTGCTCACAGAAATCCCAGCAGGACGGGCAGAGCAGGTTCCCACCGTGGATCCAGCCATTCATCTGAATGCTGACGGGCAGGACCTGCCCAGCCCGGCTGCACAGATACGCTGTGTCCTGCACCCAGACCTTCAGACCTTGAGGAGAGCAAGAGATCTTCAAACAGAGGGGAAAAGAAATCAAGTCAGTAAATTCTAGGCTGAGATGTCTCTATCACTGCAGGAAAATGTGTTAAAATCCACTAAAAACATTGGCTATAAAGCACATTTGGGTTGTGAGCATTTCTTTAACACACAGAAAGTGGTTAAGCTATTTAGGTTCCAAAAGTAGTTCACTCTTCACTCTACCTTAACTGTTCTTTTTTTTTTTTTAATGTATTTAGTACAGGGTTTACAGGGTCTCCCTATGTAGATCAGACTCTAGTGATTCTGTTTTCAGCCTCCCAAGTGCTGGGATTAACAGGTGTGCACCAACACGCCCAGTCTCAATCACTGTCGCAGCGTGCCCTGGGGACGGGGCCAGCACAGCAAGCCAGAGATCAAACCCTGGCCCCTGCCTAAGCAGGTGCTTTAGTCTGCTGAGTTATCTGGCCAGCCCTTGTTCTTTATTTTTGAGACAGGACCTTACTATGTAGTCCAGGCTGGCCACGAACTCACAATAATCCTGACCTTGAGCCTGAACTGCATAGCAAGACCCTGTCTCAAAAAGACCAAAAAAAAAGAAAGAAAAAAAAAGAAAACTTTTTTGATGGTGGTGGTATATATCTATATATCTATATATAGATATATATTTTTTCCCTCTCTGATTCTACTAAGATCGAACCCAAGGCCTTGGGCACGCTGGGAAGTGTCTAGCACAGGCTGCACGCCAGCCCAGGAAACATATGTGCAATGGTGAAAAATGAACAAGTCAGTGTGTAACAAGGAAGTGTGAGCGACAATATTTTAGAATGACTCTGTTCTGCAGTCATGAGGAACTTAAACACTGACAATGGAAACAGAAAGGTCTGCCATGAGAAGCACTGCTGAGGACTGGGGAGGTGGGGCAGTGCTCCAGGGCTTGCCTAGCAAATGTGAGCCTTGGGTTGTTCCTAGCCCCACAGTACAGGGGAAGCAAGTCAGGCCTGGGGGGTGCACACCTCTAATTTTAGAGCTCTGGGAGGCTGAGGCAGGATGAACAACTTGAACAAGCCCTTGTAAAACAACTAAAAAATTTAAAAAGACCACATCCCACATCTAAAACACTTATTGATAAGCAGATGGTTTATTATTGTTATTATTTTCATTTTTTGAGACAGGGCCTTGCTACGTAGCCAGGCCTTGAACTCGCCGTGATGCTCTGTGTCAGCCTCGGCGCTGGGACCACAGGTGTACGTCACCACATCCCATGGCTTATTAATTCTTATAATCTATGCTTTTCCCAGACCTTCTGAAACAAAACTGTTTTTCTACTGCAAAGTAGTATTTGTCCAAGAACAAAATTACATATTTGCTATTGTTTCCATAGGGCATATGCCCAGAAGTTATTATGAATCTTATAATTACATATTTTCAAACAAATGGAAAAAGACTATTTTTTTTCTGAAAGAAATGAAGCTGTTTGCACAAAACACAGCCTCTCAAAATAATAATTATATAAGGTATCAAGCAGTAAATTACCTGAAACAGAATTGAAAGCACAAACTCCATATGATATAAAATTCTAGTATTAACCAACGCGGTTTACCTGGTAGCACCCGCTGCCCCAGTCTGGGTAACTCAGCTTCCTTTCACACTTTTCCATGACAAATGCTGATTTCTGAATCAGACAAATGGAATGAGGTCCGTACTTTTCAGCACCATAGTTTTTCAAAATTTCTGAAGCAGAGCAGAAAAAACATACTCAAAAACTGATTTTTAACAAAAGGAACAAGGCTAAGAAATAAAAGCACTTCATGTTGTATAATAAACAGTTGCTTTAAAAATCAAGCTTCTGGCGCTGGGGAGATAGCTCAGTAGAATAAGCACTTGCCTGGCAAACACAAGGGCTTGGGGCGGGGAGATGGCTCAGTGGAATAAGCGCTTCCCTGGCAAATGTAGGGGCCTAAGTTCAATCCTCAGTTCCACAAAAAACAAACAAACAAACAAACAAACAAACACAAGGGCCTGAGTTCAATGCCCGGTTCTGCCAAAAAAAAAAAAAGATTGGTGATTTTTGGGGCTGGGGAGATGGCTCAGTGAAATAAGTGCTTCCCTGGCAAGCGCAAGGGCCTGAGTTCAATCCCCAGTTCCACCAAAAAATCAATCAATCAATCAATCAATCAATCAAGCTTCTTTAATGGGAAATTTTAAACTAAAAAATCATTAGAAACAGAACTCCGCACTCAAACTAGGTTCTCATAAACAGAATGAGGGGGGCCGGGGAAATGGCTCAGTAGAATGAGCGCTTCCCTGGCAAGCACAAGGGCCTGTGTTCAATCCCCGGTTCCACCAAAAAACAAACAAACACAAAAACCCCAACAGAACGAGGGTGAAAAATTACTACACTGGAAAAAAGGAGATGAGCTTGGGCCCAAAGCTTCTCAAGGATGTGGCACCAAGAACCAAGACCCGCTAGACACCACTGGACACCACTTTCAGGGAAAACCCAATAAAACACAACTTTCCACAAACCAGTGTGGAAAAACAGAATTCAGCTTACTCTAAGCTTCAGGCCCAACACTGCCTCTCATTCGTTACACACAGACCCAGAAGCAGAAGCGTCGCTTTGGAGACTGCAGGACAAGGCCTGAAATAGTTCACAGTGAAACGCGACGATGTCCACTCCTCCACGGCTGCCAGAGCCAGGCATTCCTTCTGCGTGAATGCGGACCCACTGATAGTTAGATCTTAAGTCTTTGGGACATTTATTAAATGCGTGAGTGATGGGGAAAAAATGACTAGAAATACAGTTAAATTTGCCAAGTTTAAGAATAAATGAGGGGGGCCTGCCCCTAGCTCAGTTCCTTAAGTGGCTGCTTCAACAAAGCACTCAGGCTCAGGTTGCTGTGGTTCGATCCCCACAACTCAAGCCAGCCAAACCTGCCCTGAAGGCTTTGGGAGCAAAAAGTAAAAAAATCCTTCTGCCATTTAAAAAAAAAAAAAAAAAAGAATAAATGAGAAGGCTGGGGAGATAGCTAGGCGGTCTAAGCACCTGCCTGGCAAGCACAAGGGCCCAAGTTTGATCCCCTGTACCACATGCCATGCTGGCCTTGGAACCCCAGGTGCTGGCCTCCAAAATCAGGCGTGGTGGTGCAGGCCTGTAATGACTGAGACAGGAGGATCACTGAGTCTGAACTGCGTAATGAGACCTTGTATCAAAAAAATAAATAAATAAAATGAAAAAGAATAAATAGGAGGGGAGAGGATCAACAAGGAATCAAGAGTTACTGTGCACATGTACCAAATCCCCGGGGTGAACATAATCATTACATACTACAAATATGGACTAATAAAAATTTTTAAAAGAATAAATGGTCAAGGGCTGGCAAGATAGTTCAGCAGACTAAAGCGCCTGCTTAGGCAGGGCACAGTGGCCAGGGTTCAATCCCTAGTGTTCCGTGCCAGCCCCATCCCCGGGGTGCGCTGAGACAGCAATTGAGAATGGGTGTGGTGGTGCATGCCTATAATCCCAGCTCTTGGGAGACTGAAAACAGGAGAATCACTATGAGTCCAATCTGATTTACATAGTGAGACCCTATAGACCCTGCACCAAATACATTTTTAAAAAAAGAAAGAAAAATTTGAAAGGAAAGAAAAACTAATTACTGCTTTTTTTTTTTTTTGACAGTACTGAGGGTTGAACTGAGGACCTTCACAATGAACTACATCCCTAGCTTTTTTCCTTCTTTGTTGCGGTACCAGGGATTGAACTCAGGACCCTGTGCTTGCCAGTCAAGTGCTTATTCTACTGAGCCATCTTCTTTGTTCTTATTTTTGTATTTTGAGATAGGGCCTCATTAAGTCATTAAACTGCCAACAATAAGGTCAAACTTCTGTGATCTGCCTACCTCAGTCTCCCAGAGTGCTGGAATTTCAGGCATGCGGTCAGTTTTGCCTTTTCTTAACATGTCAGATCTGAGAGTATTCCTGTTTACAAAGGTAATTAGTATGAACTACAGCTACCACTATAAACTACAAAGTGGCCACTGTTCATTCCTTTGGCATCTTGTTCAATAACATGAATCAGTGTAAATGAATGCCATAGCTACTGGCCAAGGGAAGTAGCTATGTATTATCTGAGATCTGAAGAGTGATATATTACTTCTAAGTGACATAAACATACACTGACTAGGTGAGGGCAAAACAGGCTATCTGTGGTGTTTTCTTTTCTTTTTTTTTTTTTTTTTTTTTTTTGCAGAACCAGGGATTGAACTCAGGCCCTTGCACTTGCCAGGGAAGCACTTAATCCACTGAGCCATCTCCCCAGTCCCCTTCTGTGGTGTTTTAATAAAAAAAAAAAAACCTGTGCAGAAGGACCCTGCACTCATACCAGTAAACTATATTCCTTAATTATTCATACGAGTCACTCACACTGAAGAACAGCAATACTTTCCCTGCATTTCTTCAGGGTTTTGAGAAAAATAAAACAAGAAGTAATGAATGTGGCTCCCAGGTGAGGAGCCATGTGGGTATGGGGCGAGGCCCAAGATGCGGCATGCCACCCCCGGCAGACATGCCCTAAGCAACGTCTATAACAGGTTCCCACGCACAGATGAGAAGCCAGCAGCTTCTCACAGGCAGGGACTCAGGCAGGGTGCATCAGCGCACATGGAGTGTGGGGTGGTGTTCTGTGTGTGTGTGCACCACGTTCTCATGACACTGCTAACCTGGCTGATTCTCCAGGATTCTGCAGTCCGAGCTGCGCTGATACTCGCCGCTCAAATGCCAGCTGAACTCCTGGCTGAAAGGGCAGTAGTCGGCGATCTCTACTGAGCCTCCATAGTGTGGCAGGTCTTCTGTGGGGACCCCGGCAAGCTCGTCAAAGTACTGCAGTGAGGGAGACAGGGACGGAGGTCCATGGGCAGCTTACAGGCCCTCGATTGCTGCCTGACCCAAGACGCTGAACCAATTCCCATCAGAAACTACACACCACAAAGACAACCTGCCATCTGACAAGCATTTTGAGGTTGCTACAATTTTAGAAATAACCAGAGCAAGTAATCTACATTATCTATTAGGATGACAAATCTGATTGTTTTAAAAGGATGAAACAATTAAAATGAGCAAAAGGGCCGGGCATGGTAGTGCACACCTATAATCCCAGTACTCAGGAGGCTGAGGCAGGAGGATTGAAGGAGCTCAGCAGTTGTAAAAAAAATGGAATGACTCCTCACTTTTTTCTAACATGGAAAACACACAAGGCCTTTGATTCTAAAAGGTTTATAAGGACTAGCACGCATTGGTGCATCCCTGTAATCCCAACACTGCAAAAGGGTGAGGCAGGATGATCACAATGTTCAGTGCACCCTGGGCAAAATTTAGTGATTTAATGAGACCCTGTCTCAAAACAGAAAATAAAGCTGGGCATGGTGATGTGCACCTGTAATTGTAGCACTCGGGAGAGTGAGGCAAGACGATCACCACCTACTAAAGGCCAGCCTGCACTACACAGTTACATAGTAAGACTCTGTATCAATCAATCAATCATCAATCAATAATAAAACAAAATAAGAGGTAAGGATTTAAGGGTCCAAGGCCTTACATTTGAACCCCTACTGTCACACAGTTTAAGAAAATGTACCCTTGTTTTGGGGGGGAAGTGATTTTGATTTTGATTTCCTTCACTCTAGCTCAATCATGAAATGTCACAGTGATTCATTTCTGGGGTGGGACGGAAGGCGGCGCCATGCGTGCGTGCGTTCGGGGCGCAGTCAGCTGAGGGGCACAGAGCAGGTTCACTGTGCAGCTGCAGGAGCACCACAGCCCTGCTGGCAGGTAGGTGATGTTGCGTGGGTGAGACAGCTGGCACGCGATGTCCTCAGCAGCTTCCAGCTTCCGCAGCTCACTCAGGCCATCGCCCGAGTGGCCAGTGAGTTGGTGATCAGCTCGGCCGCCTTGGAGTCGCCCTCTGCGGAGATGATGGCTGCCTTCTTTTGCTGCTCGGTCTTTCCCACCACGAATCTGGCTCGCTCTGCTTCTTGCTGAGCCACCTGTTTGGCTTCCATGGCTTCTGTAAACTCCTTCCCGAAGGTCAGATGCGTCAAGGACACGTGGTCCAGGATGAGGCTGAAGGTGGCCGCTCGCTCCATGGGGTCTTCACTCACCTGCCTGGAGACCAGCTCTCTCTGGGTGATCAGCTCACTGGCATTGACGTGAGCAGCTGGCTGGCAACGGGCCGGAAGAGGATGTGCAGGATGATGGTGATATTCTGTAAATCTTTGCTGCCAATAATGACCAGCATATTATGTGGTCCTGAGCGGCAGTCAAAGATAATTGGTTTCTATGCCCACAGGATGAGAAAGTGAGTGCCTTTCCCTACCACGACGTTTTGCATTCCGTGTCTTGAACCGGTCAAAGATGACCGCTCTGTGCTAGCATCCACATTGTGTAAGGCAGAGTTCACCACGCCTCCTGCCATGGCTAAGGCCAGGCCGAACTTGCCAATGGATTCAAATACTTTCACAGCCATGTTTCCTTCTGCGGGCCCCCCTCACGCCACTCTCACCTACCCTTTTATTTTCAAAATGAAAAATAGTTCCTAAAAATTGATTCTTAAGACAGTGAAGAACAAGTGTTACCTGGAACTCTGGTGGCAACGGCTGAGGGAACTTCTGTAAATTGCACACAGCCACGGCCCTCTGGTCCTGCCTGCAGGTCAGCTGCAGCGGGTTGCTCCTGAGTGTGTCACAGTAAGGGCTCAGCGCCTGCCCCCTGCATACAAAGGCATGTACCGCAACATCAAATGCCAAGAAAAACCCACAGGCCCACTGTCAAGTTCCTCTTTTCTTTTTTTTTAATTTAATTTTTTTAATTTTTTTTTTATTTTAACATTTAGTGTGTGTGTGTGTGTGTGTGTGTGTGTGTGTGTGTGTGGCCAGCTCAGCCCACCAGGGGGCGCGGCTGGCTGGCATGTGGTGCTGGAGGATTGAACCGCGGTCCCTATGCTTTGCCAAGCTTGTTCCAAGTAGGTGCTTTAGACCACTGAGCCATTCTCCAGCCCCAAGTTCCTCTTTTCTATTAAAATATCAATACAGTATACTTGATAGTACAGAGTTAATTGCTGAGTCAGGTTATAAAAGTTTTCTTTTCTTCTTTTTAAGACAAGGTCTCACTATACAGTTCTGGTTGGTCTTGAACTCACTATGTAGCCCAGACTGGCCTTAAATTCGTGACAATCTTCCAGCCTCAGCCTTCCCACTGCTTGGGTTACAGGCATGTGCCCCCGTGCCTGACTTACAAAGTTATTTTCAAAAAAATCAAAAAGAAAAAAAAAGCCTCATTTAGATGTGTAAGTTCAATGAGGCATTCAGACACAACTATATTCTTACTGAATAAAATCCTATTTATCTTGCTCTTTGCCTTTGCCAGTGAAATAGTCCTATAGCTTTGCTTCCTGTGTTTAATGTCAATGAATGAAATTCCAGCTTGTGGATTAAAGATCCAATAATGGCCAGGGAGATAGCTCAGTGGAATAAGTACTTCCCCGGCAAGCGCAAGTTCCTGAGTTTGATCCCTGGTACCACAAAAAATAATAATAGTAAAATAGAAATCCAATCTTCACAATTAAGAAATATCATTCTTAGTAAGAGAAGGATGACTACTAAAAGTGAGTTTCCTTCTATGCCATACTTTGTCTTAAAGAATTTCATTTGACAGGCTGGGTACAGTGGTGCATCTCTGTAACCCTAGTACCCAGGAGGCTGAGACAGAAGGATCTCTGTGAGTACGAGGCCAGCGAAGGCTATGCAGTGAGCTCAGGACCAACCTCAACTACACAGTGAGACCAACAAAAGAATTAAATTTAACAATTTGTTAAAAATATTCACAAGATAATTTTGTATTCTTGAAATCAGTGAATACTGTGTGACTATTTCTAATGTTAACAGTTTGATCCATTCTCTATTAAACCTATTCTTGGAAGTGTAATTTGAAGAATAGGATATCAAAAATTCTAAAAGCATAATCAAAACCTGTGGCATTAAAATAACCTTCAAACAAACTGGTAATTTTAACCAGTGATCGAACTGGTAAATTTTTGGTTTTTTGCTTTGTTTTGTTGAGACAGGGTCTCACTTTGTAGTGCAGGCTGGTCTTGGACTCACTATGAAGTCCAGGATCCCCTTAAACATTCAAAGATCCACCTGCCTCAGCCTTCTAAGTGCTGGGATCACAGGTGTTTACCATCATTCCTGGCTCAAACTGTAATTTATAATAAAAATTACACTAGCATCATAATAGGAATGTTATAAATGAGTGTCGGCACTCCTACACAATTAAAATCCTAATAAAAGAGGGGCCTAAAAATTATGATAGAGTCACTGGTCATCTACCACATATTCGTTAAGGAGAAAAAAAGCCCATTTTAGTTTTATATTAGGGAAGACTGATCCTTGTCTAATTAAAATTTCCGTAACATCCGGGATAGGGGTATAGCTCCGAGGTCCTGTCTGTGCGGCACGTGTGAGATGCGCAAGGGCCTGGCTTGAATACCGTGGGCTATGATAGACAGAAAATAAACAGACGGACAGATTGAACAGAAATGTTTTAATTAAATGAGTAAAGTGAAACAAATAAAAAGCTCACTAAAAAAATTTAGTGATTTAAGTAAGCATCACAAGTTGAAGTCTAGCCTGGGACCATTTTTAGTGACAGCCTCTCTTAAAAAAATATAAAACGTTTGGGGGCTGTAGCTCAGGGCAAAAACCCTGGGTTCAATTCCTAGCCCCTCCAAACAAGAAAACAAATTAGTGACTTAAAAGTGTCAAACCTCCAGAGATATAGCTCAGTGGCATAAGGGCACACCTGGCAAGCGCAAGGTCCTGAGTTCAATCCCCATCCAAAAAAAAAAAGGCCCCAAAGCTGGGGCTGCTCAGCACTCCTGGTCCCGGACTTCAGGGGGCGCCGCCAAGGCTATGCACTTCACCACAGTTAGCTGAGGGAGTGGCGCTCAAATTCTATTCGACTCTCATTAATTAAAATGTAAACTGAAACCCATGACTAGTGGTTGAGGCAGCTGGAGGTGAATGTCTAATGACCTCGCCAGGCCCAGGGCAGCTCACCCACAGGGCACCGGCCTGGCCCAGGTCCTGGACCCCTGCGACCACAGCTGCGGCCTGGAGCACATGCGCACTGGCATGCAGCCCCAGCCCACCCTGCACACACCGAGGTCGCAGCTGTCCTTGTGGATTCTGCACCCCACTCTCACACATGGGACACAGAACATGCAGGTGGGACTGGCAGGCCCAGTCCGGGTCTCAAATCTGGTCCAGCGCCTGCTTTCTATGTGACTGGTTTCTCCCACAACTGTTTTTATTTTCTTCTTTTTTTTTGGCGGAACCGGGGATTGAACTCAGGCCCCTGCGCTTGCCAGGGAAGCGCTTATTCCACTGAGCCATCTCCCCGGGCCCTTGTTTTTATTTTCTTTTTCCCAGCCTTAGTGATGGAAGCCAGGGCCTTGCGTATGTGACACAAATGTCCTACCATGGAGCTGCACCAGCCATCTGTATAAAATCACATGTTACCGGAGCATAGCCATCCCCATTCACGTCTTCCCTGTGCAAAAGCAGAATGAGTGGCTGTAAAAGCACTAACAACTCTCAAACCCTAAAGTATCTCCTAGCCGTTTTTTTAACCAACAAAAGTTTTTTGACCACTGGCTTCTGACTCAAAGGACTGGCTGGGCAAGATGGTGCACACCTGTAGTCCTCGCACCCAGGAGGCTGAGGCAGGAGAATCACTGAGAGTCTGAGGCCAGCCAGGGGTACACTGTGAGTTTTATTTAAGACCAGCTAGAATTACATAGTGAGACTCAGTCCCCAAAAAAGTGAAAAACAGAAACAAAGCAGAAATACAAGACTGTATCAACTAAACCAGAAAAAGTATTTGAAAAAAGTCAACATTCATGACAAAAACTCTCAGAAAAACAGAAAGAGGCAAACTTCCTCAATTTGATAGTGAATTAATAAAAATAATCTACAGCAAACCTGTATTTAATAAGAAAAAAAGTCTTCTATTTCCTTTCATTGGAAAATTTAATACAGTAAAGGTATTAGTTCCCCTCAGAAATCTGGGGTTAATGCAGTTCTTGTTAAAATCCAAGCAAGCTTTATTTTTGACACACAGATGAGATTACTTTTATATGGGCAGGCAAAGAACCTCAAAAGAGCAAACACTTTTTGATAGAAAATAAAGCAAGAGACACGGGACTCAATCACCAATCGTAAGACTCGCACCTCTGTTGTGACCGAGCGCTATGCTACCAGAGGGAGAGAGACATAGGGACAAGGACACAGAGCAGGCCACACAGGAAGAGGCCTACACACCACCTGACCTTTGGGGACAGTGGCACAAAGACCTCTCAGAAGGGCAGCCACCCTTCAGCCAGCACCCACAGGAGAAGTATGAGCCGCACAGCAGCACCTGGCGTCATACAAAAGCAGCTCACCAGGGACCACAGACACATACATATGCCAAGTGTCCATCTGTAAAACTATCAGTGGTGCTTGTACAGTGCTACACAAGGCCCCAGCAGTGAGCTGTACCTTCAGCCTATTATAAACTTTGGGAAAAAACCTAAGAAAAATTTCGAGGTCCAGGAGGGCTCACCCAAGAGTTAAGACCTGACATTAAAAACTTAACACAGGGCTGGGTATAGTGGCATATGCCTGTCATCCCAGCACTTGGGAAGCTAAGGCAGGAAGATCTTTGCCAGTTCAAGACCAGCCTGAGAGACCACACACTACAAAGTGAGTTCTGGCCAGCCTGAACTTCATAGTGAGACCCTTTCTCAAAAAGACAATAAGTAAACAGTAAAATAAAATAACAATACAGCTGGATGTGCTAGTATATGCCTGCAATCCTAGCATTTGGGAGGCGGAGGCAGAAAGGCTGCAAGTTCTAGAATACCTTAAGGCAAAAGCAAGACACTGTTTTTTAAAAAAAAAGTTCAAAAAGAACAAACTGATAATTTGGAAAGCATTAAAACTAAAAACAACTTCTTTACAAAAGTCTCTAGCAAGAAAATAAAAAGACACATTATAGGCTAAAAGAAGATACTTGCAAAATACATTTCTGAGCCAGGCATGGTGGTACATATCTGTAATCCTTGCTCCTCAAAGGGCTGAGGCAAGTGGATTGAAAGTTTGAATCAAGCCTGGGCAACTAACTAAGTGAGACCCCATCTCAAAAATAAAAAGCAAAAAGAATTGCAGATGTAGCTCAGTGGTAACACACAGCTGGGCCCAAGGCGCGTGCACACACACGCACATGACAAGAACTAGTATCTACAATATATAAACACATTCAAAACACACTAATAAAAGAGCAAATAATCAAATTAGAAAAGTGGCTTAACACACGAAGAGAGACAATTCTCCAAAGAGGCCAGAAGGTAAATAAGCACATGAAAAGCTGTTCAACCACAATAACCTTTAGGGAAAGGTAAATTAAAAATTGTAGGAAAATTTCACTGTGTTCCTATGAGACAAACTAAAGTGAAAACACCAGATGCTGGAAAGGCGTGAAGAGGCCAGCACGCTACCTCACTGCTGAGTGCAGAATGGCGGAGCACTTAGGAAAAAGTATGGGAGGTTTCTTACAAACTGAACAGGCAGCTAAGGACGGGCCAGCTACTATCTCAGATATTTCTTCGGTAGGAATAAATAGTTATGTTCATGCACGAGTGTGGACACAAATGTCTACAGTCACTTCATTCTCAACAGCCCCAACAACAGCCTTCGACAGGTGAATGTTCAGCCACATGGTGGAGTATTACTCAGTAGTAAAAATAGTTCTTGGTTACTGAGTGAAGAGAAGCAATCCCAGAAGGTTCCATCCAATATTTATATCCAGCTTGAACCATGCAGGGTATTTCTGCTTAGCATTTCTGAAATGACGAAATTAGAAAGAACATGGGATGGTTTCCAGGAGCTAAGGAGAGGCAGGCTGGGAAGAAATGGGAATGGCACAAGGGGACCGTGGAGGGTCCCCTGTGATGGGCCAGTTCCAGATCTGACAGATCAGTGTCAGTGTCCAAGTCATGATGCTGCGGGACAGTTTTACAAAATGTTTCCTATCAAGAATGTATTTAGATATATTTATGTACTCAGATGTATTTAACCTTTTATTTTGAGAGCAATGTTGCAAAAAAACCAGAGGAACTCCCTATACTCTCCAATGTGTGTGCCCTTACATAGTGTATCCATCCCAGACCTGGATACGGGCTGTATTTTCAAAAGGCACATGCCTGTTGGCACTCAGGAGGCTGAGGCAGGAGGATCACCATGAGGTGGAGGCCAGCCCAGGCCATACAGAAAGACTGTCTCAAAACAACAACAAAAAGAGGTAGGTCCAGGGTAAAGCCCCCAGTCAGGAATGAGCTGTGTAACTTGACACTGGGACGCATAGGCGCTTACTTCTGTCTCTGCTGGTCCATCCAGAACTTGCAGCTCTTCTTCACGAAGTCGCAGCCTAGCCCTCTGCCCCAGTCGAGCTTCTCAGCCATGCTGTAATTCGCTCTGTACCAGCTGTGGAGAGAGTTCACATAGAACACTGCTATCACTGTCATTTTAAAAACAAGCTTAAGGCAGGAGGGTCATTGCTAGCTCGAGACCAGCCTGGGCTACAAAGTGAGCCCAAGGCTATCCTAAACTGCACAAAGAGACCTAGTCTCAAAAAGGCAAAAACAAAAACAAGTTGAAGACAAAAGTGGTGCACACATATGATTTCAGCCTGCTGGAGGCTGAGGCAGGAAGGTCTCAAGGCCAGTGAGTCCACAAAGCTCCCACACAGAAAGGGAGCTGCCACACAGGGCCACTGAGGCACAGATAGCAACCAAGCCCACACAAAGGACGTCTGCATTGGGCAAGGCATGGCAGAGGCTGCGGGGGAGGACACAGAGGGGTGTGAGCCAAGGGAGGTGAGGACCTGGAGACAGAGACCATGAGAGAAGGCAGACACTGAGGGGCCCCAGTGCAGGGACTGGGCCCAGGGCCCCGGGCTCCTGCTCTTCAGCCTTGGTTTTGGACCTCCTCAATACTGGTCTTGCCTGCCACTCAAGGTTATGCCATTATGACAGGACAGACGGATGCTATGTGTGATATTTTTTGAATGTTCTAATTTCAGAAAAGAGAAAACATGTCATTTCCTGCTGGGTAAAGATAATGAGTCTACTTTTGTTAGCTTTTTCCTTTTTTGATCTGGCGAAGGAACCCAGGCCTTGCACATGTTGCGCAACTGCACTGCCTCTGAGCTATATTCCAGTCTTTGTTATTTTAGAGACAGGGCCTTGCTAAGTCACTGAGTTGCCCAGGTTGGCCTCAAGCTTGTGGTCGTTCTGCCTCAGCCTTCCAGGTAGCTGGGACTGCAGGTGTGTACCACCGGACTGGCTTATATCCCTCTCCCCAACCCCACAAGATTAGTTTGCAAGCCAGGCATGGTGAGGCACACCTGTAAACTAGTAGTGAGACCCTAAACATCCTGTAGACCCTTCCTTAAAAATACAATAAATAAATAAATGCAGATAAATATACACTTAAAAAAAAAAGTGTGGTGTCAGGAGAGAGACGCCCCCCTGGAGCGGGGTGGGAAAGGTTTTCTGGAGCATGCACTTTGAGCAGAACCCTGCTGCATGGACAAAACAGTACTGAGGGGCAGACAGGTTTCCAAGTGGGCAGGTGAGGGGTGGTTCTTGGTTAATGTTTGTTTCTCTTAACAGGATAAAGGACTGCATTGCAGGTACTCATGAATGTCATCCTCAAGACACTTCTGTCTCCAGAGCATTTGTTTTGTTTTCTTAGAGACAGGGTCTACCTATGCAGCCCAGGCTGGCCTCTGAGTCACTGCAATCCTCCTGCCTCAGCCTCCCAACTCCCGGGACTGCAGGTGTGCACCACCACACCTGGCTCAGAGCGTTTATATATAATGCCCAAGGTCCACCCTCAGTGCTCAGTGTGGGTCCCAAGGGCTGCCTAGTGCACTGAAGGCTCCTAAATGCTGCCAGGTGTCTCCTCCAGCCACATTCACACATGAAGTCACAGACACAAGTTAGCAAGGGGCTACACTGGAATTTAAGTTTGGGTAGAACTGTGGGTCTGCATATGTCCAGCAGTTACAATGGATACCTATAATCCCAGCACTTGGGAGGCTGAATCAGGAGGATCACTGTTAGTTCGAGGCCAGCCTGGCCTACATAGTGACACCCTGACTCAAATAAAACAAAACTTACATCACATTCTCATAGCTTCCTTACCCAGTGTCCTCCATCAAGGCCAAAGTGATTCGAGAGAGGACTCGGTTCTGGGTGTGAGAACCCGTCATCGCTTCATTCTGAAAAACACCAGCAGCCTTTAATCAGAGGATGGCTCTACAGCTCCCAAAGACTTCAGTGATTCCTGTGGTGTATGTTTAAAACATGTCAAGTGAGCATCTGATAAAGCATTCACTTCAAAATGGCAAAGTAAAGCAGGCATGGTGGTGTGCGCCTGTAGTCCCCATACTTAGGATGCTGAGGCAAAAAGATTAATGTGCGTTTGAGGTCAGCCCAGGCTACATACAGACACTCTATCTCAAAACAAAACAAATACACAATGGCAAAACATGACAGCCTTCTTTAAAATGCCTGAAGCTTCAAATGGATGCTCTTTTCTGCCTCAAATCACGAACAATCTCCCCAGAATGGCAGCCAAGCGGCACTCAGGACCTTACAATGAAAACAAAGATACACAGGATGAGAAGTTCTCCCAGGCAAAGTATCACACCCTCCAGGCAAAGTACAGTGAGCGATAGAGACGGGAGGGCAGGCCATCTGGGGTCGCCAAGAGGGACTACTTGCATTACACAGAAAATGCTTTTCTAACCCAAACCTTATGCTCAGGAAAGCAACCCAGCTAATAGAAAAACACGTATGAGAGAACCAGGATGAAAGGGTTTACATGAGCGACCTGAAGTATCATCAAGGTCTGCGGCTTAAATTAAAAGTTTACTGGCCAGACAGCTCAGTGGACTAAACTGGGGTTTGATCCCCAGTGTGCCATGCCGGCCCCACCCCCGGGACAAGCTATAATAGCAATATTGAGACTGGGAGTGGTGGTGGCGCGCCTGTACTCCCAGCGCTTGGGAGGCTGAAAACAGGTGAGTCACTGTAAGTCTGACCTGTGTAGTGAGACCCTGTAGACATTACTAATTAAAAAAAAAAAAAGTCTACCAGGCTTTTAATTTATTATAAAGTTTCTACCTCTCGAGGAGGTTTCGTCTGCCTCCTGCAGAAACATATTTCATCTGTATTTATTTTTATTATTCATCTTTCATCTTTAAACAGATTAACTATTGGTCAAATGCTGACATTGAACATGGAATAGACATTTCCAGTGCTTTAATCCTGTTCCTTAAAACAAGAAATTCACCAGGCATAGCACCATGCCTATAAACCCAGCACTCGGGAGGCTGACGCAGGAGGATCATCACAAGTTTGAGACCCGTTTGGGCTTGTCAATTAGAGGCCAGTCTGAACTACAAAGTGAGACCTTGTCTTAAACAAAACAAAACAAAAAACCCCAAGTCCCTCCCCCAACACAAAACAAGCCACAAATAATTCAAGCATACAAAGTTAATTTCCTAGCAAGGAAAAATGCACAAAATTACTGTTTTTAGGTTTTCCACTAAGAAACACATAAATTTTCATTTCTGGCCAATCTAAAATGCAGTAAAGGTTATCACTTGAGCAATTTCCTTAAGAAAAGTGAAACAGAAATTCCCTTGGGAGGAGTACGTGCATGTGCAGTCTCTATTTTCTACAAGTATGTTACTTTATGGTCACCTGGATCAGAACAGTAAACACAAGCACTAATGTCACCTTTTTTTGTTTGTTTTTCAAGATAAGGTTTCACTGTGTAGTCCAGGTTGACCCTGAACTTGCAGCAACCGTCTTGAGTGCTGGGATCACGGATGTGCACCACAAGGATGTGTGCCCTGCTTAATCTCACTCTTTTTATAGTCTTTTTTTTTTTTTTTTTTTTTTTTTTGGTGAGACAGGCTCTTGCAGTGTAGTCCAGGATGACCTTGAATTTAGTGTGTGGCCCACACTAGCTTCAGATTCATGGCAATCCTTCTGCCTCAGCCTCCCCGTGCTGGTACTCCAACAGTGCGCCACCAAATCTGCCTCTTTTTGTCATCTGACTGCCTACAGTCATGATGTCTGCATGTTACAACTACATTATCAAAACCTCCAACAAGAAATATATACACCCCCACACAGACACTTCTAAGAAATTCCACTTCCAAGGATTTATTTTTTTTATATAAATAAATGTGACCCTTGTTAACTTTCTAGTTCTGCTCCCCTGAAATCTAATAAAGGTAGACTACTACTGTGTTACTAGGCAGTGGCACAGAGGGTAGAATTGCCTGTCTGCCTCTAGGCATGCACTGCTGTGAGCACACATCAGCACCTGCAGGTGCCCACAGGCTGGAAGTCCCTGTGGCCTGCTCCCTAACACCCTGCCAGGGCACCCTTTGCTGAACGTGACTTTCTGCTGTTATGAGTTGTTTGCCTGCTGAACCTCAGAACATCCACATCCACACCACCCTGGAAGGCATGGCAGACATGCAAAAAGCTTCGTGATTACATGTGGAAAGCGAGCTGGGCATGGTAATGCACACCTGTGGTGCCAGCACTTAGAAGGCTGAGGCAGGAAGATCCCTGTGATTCCAAGGCCAGCCTGGGCTACACAGTGAGCTCAAGGCCAGCCTGACCTAGCAAAAGCCTGCCTAAGGGGGTGAAAAATTATATATGAATAAATGATTAAAAAATCTGGAAATTGGGTCTGAAGAGCTCAAAGAGACTTCCTAATTTCTTAAGTGTATAATTTATGCAATCATTTTTAGCATGAGTATAATTCACTTTTACAATAAAAAAAGAAAAAGAGCCCAGGAAAGTGTAACCACAACCACCTCTAGTAACCGTTTTTCCCAGTGGTTGAGTTCTGTGCCCATGCCACCTTGATTCTCCAGCTCCATTCCTTCCAGAAGTGGACAACTAAAATGTTTCCGTGCTTCATCCTAAAAAAGAAAAAAGAAAAAAGAAAGAGTATAAATCCCTCAAAAGATGAAAAATTTTGTTATCTGGATATAATAAACATTAGAGGATGAGTTTTGAGAGAAGACAGAGCTTCTTTTTAACATACAGTTTATAATAGAGTAAAATAAAATATTCTGACGGTGTCATACAGCTCTTGCGCTAGCCAATTACAATTTCTCCTACTGCTTCCTCTCTGACCGCCTCAGTCACAAAGGTGCACTTATTTCCACCCACAGCATCCTTGCCAACTCAAGCTGCCCTCTGTACTCTCATAACAGCCATTCTTTTAAAAATATTTTGGGGGGGATGGGGTATCAGGAATCAAACTTAGAATCTTGCATTTGCTAGGCAGGCACTGTGCCACTGAGCTGTCTCCCTGGCCTGACAACAGCCATTCTGACAGGTGATACAATGTCTAATTTCAGGCTTAATTTCCAATTCTCTAATGATTATTAATACTGAACATTTTAAATTGTTGGACAGTTGTTTTTTTAATTGAGAAATGTCAATTCACAGTCCCTTGTCTTTTTTTAAAAAATGGTCCTAGGATTGAACCCATGGCCGCTCTATACTAAAGTACATACATCCCCAGCCCTTTTTTTGTCTTTTTGAGACAGGATTTCACTATGCAGTTCAGGCTGGCCTTGAACTCACAGCATTCCTCCTACCTCCACCTCTTGAGTGCCAGCATGACGGGCATGCGTCACCCTGCCTTGCTCTAGCCCTTTCTTTTTTTTCTGTCTTGAGACAGGGTCTTATTGCACTGCCCTATGTGGCCAGGAACTTGTGATCTTCATTGAACATTTCTTTTTTTTTTTTTTTTGTGGAACCGAGGACTGAACTCAGGCCCTTGCGCTTGCCAGACAAGTGCTTATTCTACTGAGCCATCTCCTCAGCCCTTCATTGAACATTTCTGCATGCACAGTATGTTCCTCCAAGATACTGGCCCAGGACTCTTGTAACATTCTTATCTATCCCAGCACTCAGATCTCCTTGAGTTCAAGGCCAGCCTGAACTACACAGTAACACCCTGTGTCAAGAGCAAGACCAAACCAGCCCAACCCAAATATTCTCACCTGCCTTTGATATCTGGGTAATGCTGGTCGTGTGAAAAGTTTGAAAGTATTCTTTCCCCTTTAATTTTCTGGAAGTTTGAGAAGAACTGGCTACTTCTTTTTTGATGAAGTTCTTTAATGCTGTATATTTCCCTATAACGGCTTTTGCTACATAAGCTTTGGCATGTTATATTTTCACTTTTGTCTCAACATATTAAATTTCCCATCCACCTATCTATTTATGGTAGGGCTAGAACCCAGGGACTTACGTACGCTATGAAAGCTCTCAGACACCCCCAGCACTTCCTTTAATCTCTTCACTAAGAACATGTTATTTAAATTTCACATACTTTTCAAATTTCTGTTGTTAGTAATTTCTCCTGTTACACCACTGCAGCTGGGATTTTTTTTTTTTTCTTTTTTGAGACACAAATGCAAAATGTAGCCCAGGATGGCCTTAAATTCACAGTGATCTCCTGCCTCCGCCTCCTGAGAGGACAAGCATGTGGTTTCCATCTTCCTGTTAAGTCTTGTCCTATGTTTCACAGATGATATTTTCTGGAAAATGTTCCACTTGCCCTTGGGAAGGATGTGAATTCCACTGTGTGGGATGGGACACTCCCTGCCTGTTGGTGCACTTGGCCTAGGCATCATTCAGGTTGCAGGTTTCCTTGTGAATTTCTGCCTAAGGGACAGCAACGCTGATAGTGGCGGGCAGAGGCCCCATTCTACTCCAGCGCTGCAGCTCGCCTCTCCCCTCACATCTGTAGTATTTGTCTGGTCTCGCCAGATGTCACCGGGCCTTTACAACTTCACACCTGTCACATCCTCTTGATGAGCTGACCCCTCTGTCCTTACAAAATGCCCTCACTGCCCCTTTTCTTACCTCTGACTTGACATCTATTTAGTCTGATGTTGAGTACAGCCACCCTGCTCTCTCCAGAATAACTTTACTGCTGGGAAAAACTGCTCTTACCATGAAGTAGATTTGTAGGGGAAAAGCAAAGCATTCAGTGGGAGGCAGATTGCTCCCCATGTTTTCTGTCCTTCCACTAGAGATTTCTAGGGCTGGGAAACAATGGAGCGCACACAATAAAGAGCAGGGTGCAAGCTTAGATGACAGAGCGCTGCAGGTCAGGGAAGGGGGTGCAGCTCTGTGTCGGGGGTATGTGTGATCCTGTGATGTCAGTTCTGTGTGGCCACTGTGCCTGGACACTTGGACAAGCGCTATTCTGGACAGTTCTGTACAAATACTGCTCACTGGGGGATCAACATGGAGGGCAGTAGGCAACACGTGAAAGCAGGTCACCGTCCAGTGCAATGGGCCTCGCCCATCATGCGCAGACTGACAGAACAGACTGACCTCTGGATCTTGCCTGCACTTCTTGCGTCTGCAGCCTGTCTCCCCCACAAGCTGCCCCATATGCATCCTATGGTTCTTTCTCTTGGATTTTGACAATGCAGACCCTCCAGGGAAATGATCACTAACTGCAGACACTGAGACAGAGGCAGCCCCACTGCATGGCTATGGTGGGCAGGGACCAGAGGCACCGCTAAGCTCCATGGCCTGGGGTCTCCTATGTGGACTTCACAGTAATGCCTCATGACTTCTTCTGCTACGGGCTCTGACGCTTCATAAATTCTTAAACAGTAATGATCGGGCTGGTGAGATGGTTCAGTGGTCTAAAGCACCTACTTAGAACAAGCTAAGCCAAGCAAAGCACAGGGACCGCGGTTCAATCCCCAGCACCACATGCCAGCCAGCCCTGCCCCCTGGTGGGCTGAGCTGGCCACACACACAAAATAAATGAATGAATGAATGAATAAATAATTCTTTTTTTTAAATTTTTAATATTTATTGTATGTGTGTGTGTGTGTGTGTGTATGTGTGTGGCCAGCTCAGCCCACCAGGGGGGCGCGGCTGGCTGGTATGTGGTGCTGGAGGATTGAACCGTGGTCCCTGTGCTTTGCCAAGCCTGCTCCAAGTAGGTGCTCTAGACCACTGAGCCATCTCTCCAGCCCCGAATAAATAATTCTTAAAAAAAAAAAAAAAAAGTTCTAAAAAAAAAAAAAACAAACCAGTAATGATCAGTAAATCCAGGCCATAATGAAGAACAGCTCATGACACACACAAACACTTGGTGATACTCACAACAACACGAGGGGTCACAAGGAGATACACGGGGTGATGAATTGTCTTATTATTGCGAATGTTCCATGATCGCTCCACTTTGCGGACTACTTTATCACTCCATTGATATAATCCAAGACTGAAAGTATAGAATAATAAGTTATTTTTGCAAATTTACTATCACTTTAAGTGTTTTTATGGATATGTGAAATTAAACTGGACATACTGGCATAGGCCTATAAGCCAGGACTCGGGAGGCTGAGGTAAAAGGACTGCCGCTGAGTCTGAGGCCAGCATGGACTACACAGTGAGTTCAAGGACAGCCTGAACTACATACTGAAACGCTGTCTCAAAAAATTAATAAATTTGAAAACTTAAATATCCACTTGAAATACTTGATAAGAATTTTCTAATTTTTTTGGGGGGGGGGGCGGAACCGGGGCTGAACTCAGGCCCTTGCACTTGAGAATTTTCTAATTTAATCTTTTCAATAATCCTATGAAATGATAAACACTACCACATTTGCAGGTAAAGAGACAGGGACCTAGGGGAGGAGGAACTTGATGTGATCACATTGCTAGCCCTAGCCTCGGATAACAACAAACTTCTTTCTCTCTCCCTTTTCTGTATGCAATGCAGGGAGGAAACCCAGGACACACACCAACCCTGAGTTGCTTCCTTTTGACAAAATTTATTAGATAAATGAAAGCAAAAATGAAACAAAACATCTAATCATGTAAGGACACTGAACAAAATGTTTACCATATTAATTTGGTGGGGAATTATTATTTACTTTTATTTATTTATTTATGTTAATGGATTTAGTGCAGGGTCTACAGGATCCCACTACACAGATTGGACTTGGAGCGATCCTTCCTGTTTTTCAGCCTACCAAGCGCTGGGATTACAGGTGTGCATCACCACGCCCAGTCTCAAGGAGCCCAGGGGATGGGGCCAGCCCGGCAGGCCGGGGATCAAACCCCGGCCGCTGCATCTGCCTAAGCAGGTGCTTTAATCTGCTGAGCTATCTGGCCAGCACAGGAATTATTTAATAATTGCTGTGAAAATGGTTATCCATCTATAGATGACAAATCTCTATTTCATGATGGACATAAAAATAAAATCCAGGAAGATGTCAGAAAAATGGCAGAGAAAGGATCTGAAAATTCCTTCCTCCACAGAAGCAATAAGAAAATGAGCCAAATTGGCTCAATCAACTTCGTCGGGACTCTAGAAATCAACCAAAGGCTTGCAGCATTGTGAGAAGGGTTTACTCATGAAAAATAAGAAAACAGAAGGATCTTGAGACAGATTAGGGCCAGGCAAACCTGGCAGGGGAAGAAGGCTTGGCTTGTTAATTACAAGATCCTGAACACATGTGCAAGGTGGCCTTCTTGCGGGAACTTGAGGTGTCTGTCAACAGGACGGCCTAGAACTGACACCAGCCTGAGGAACGAGGTCCCAGCACCACCTCACTGGGCCCAGACATAGGAGTCCTCATAAGATTCCTGGAGATCTGGGCAGCATAAAAAGACGTAGGCCAGGAAGAACCCACAGTCACGGCTTTCCTCATGAAACCCCAGCCTGTTTCTGCCAGAGCATACTTCTACCTTGCTTTTTCGTCTTTTACTCAGCCTATGCCCATTCTGCAGAGCCACTTTCTCCCTCAATCTTCACTTTTACTTTTTCAAGCAAACTTCATCATCATGTTTTACTTATTTCATTCAATTCTTTCTCAAGAGCTGGACTCCCAGCAAACAACCGGTAACCCAACTCCAGACAGAAACAGCACCCCGAAACCTGGTAACATTTATTTAGGGAGCTACTTTTAGTCACTGGGAGGGGCAGAGTAGCACTGACTGGCTAAAGGGGTGAAAGGTGCCCCAAGCTAGGCATACTGGTGTGCTCAGGTGGCGCACTCTGGAGGCTGCTTTGGACAATTTGGTAAGACCGAGACTCACAGTAAAACAAAAAACAAGTAAAATAAAAGGCCACGATATAACCAACTCCCATTTCCCACGGCCTGTAAGGTAACACAAGGGTCAGTGCCTAACAAGAAAAGTGCTGGCACTGTAATGCACCCTGGGGCTAACGGAGCTCACGGCCCTAGCTCACTGCGATCTACAGTCTCCCGAGCTTAGCCATACAGCCACTACCATCTTCGGCACCGCGCGTACTAGGGTGCTCACATCCCAACATGCCGACAGCCTCCTAAGGGAAAAGAACAAGAATAAAAACAGCAAATACCTGTAATTAAAAGGCGGGAGACCATCTGCAAACCTGGAAGTTAGAGGGCTTCCATCTTTATCGCGGTAAAATGCAAAGAGACCAGCTGAGAAGCCCTGTGAGGAAAAGTTCAAAACGTCTGAAAAGCGCCCAGACACAGCCCCGTTACAGACGGCGTCACACACCGCTCTTGGGGGCACGCTGGACCCCCTTGGTGAAAGCCGGCCTGGCTGGGAACTGCTCGTGCCCTCCAAATGCACCACTTTATGGCTTTAGCCACTCAACTGTTCTCATCAAGGGCCTAACAAAATGTACATCTTACAGTTATTTTCAGTATAAATGCTTCAGAACATAGCTCTGATGTTTTCCACTCCTCTCTGCTTCCTCAAGTCCTCTTGTTGGCCTTCCTCATTTGAGACCCCTAGACATCAGTTCTGCACGCAAGGCAGGGGCTGAACTGACAAAAGCAGCATACACTGGGCTAACAGAAAGACTTTGATTAAAATTACCAAGCATGAGCTAGGCGCGCTGGTGCACACCTATAATCCCTGCACTCGGGAGGCTGAGGCAGGAGGATTGCTGCCTCAAGTGGCAGGCGCTTGTGCACTGACCCCTCGCTCTCTCTCTCTCTCTCTCTCTCTCTCTCTCTCTCTCTCTCTCTCTCTCCCTTGTTAGCAGAGCCTGTGCTGCTATGCAAGAGCTCTGCCACTGACCCTCAACTTGCTTTACTTAATAAAAGAAAAAACAAGATATTTTATTCTAGAACATATACTGCTATCACCCTTGTACCACAGGCGAATCTGAGGCTTCTAAAGCTGCCTACTGTGCCCAAGATCACAAAGATTTCGAGTGACCCAACTAAGGAAGTTCATACCTAAGCCTGTGCAACCTGTTTGCTTTTTTTACGACTGATGGACTGACTGACTTGGTCCAGGGTCTCACTATGCAGCTCGGACTCGTGCTCTACCTATCTCAGCTCCCTGGTGCTAGGGTTACAGGCATATGCCCCCACGCCAGGTTTCAGTAGTCGGCACAGTGCTGGCTGGCACAGCATGCAGCAGCGGGGATCGAACCAGGTTCCTCGCACTTGCCAGGCAGGTGCTTGGACCACTGAGCTATCTCCTCAGTCCGACGTGTTCTCTTAACCACTGTTTTGCTGCTCTATACTGCCAAGTATCAAGTGACCACTGCCTAACGTCTTAGGCAACATCTTTATTTACTCAACAGATTTCTTTGTTTAATCATACTAACTAGCAAACTGCAACTTAGGCATTATCTTTTTCTTAGTACCAAGCATTGAACCCAGGGCCTTCAACTGAGCTATATCTTGAGCCTTTATTTTTTATTTTGAGGCAGAATTTTAGTACATCTTTAAATTGTCCAGGCTGGGCTCAAACTTGTGATCTTCCTGCCTCAGCTTCTCAGAGTGCTGGGATTACACCTTGTATCACTGTGCCTTGCTCCTACCCACTCTCTTAATATAAAAAAATTCCTTTTTTTTTAGTACAAGGTCTACAGGGTCTCAGAACACAGATTGGACTTATAGTGATTCCCCTGTTTTCAGCCTCCCACGCACTGGGATTACAGGCACGTGCCACCACGCCCAGTCTCAATCACTACCTCAGTGCACCCCGGAGATGAGGCCAACAGGACAGGGACTGAACCCCGGTTGCTGCACCTGCCAAAGCAGGCACTTTAGTCCACTGAGCTATCTGGCTGGCCCTCAAGAAATCCTTTTATCAACAGTAATCTATTTAATCAGATTTTTACTTAGCATGGAGCTAAGAATTCACTAACCTCAAAACTTAAAACAGACATCAAAAAGAGAGCAGAGCTGACCAAGCAGAAAACCAAGGCACTATAGAAAGGACAATACAAAGTACATTTACCAGGGCATGGATAATCTCATGTTTCACTGTGGACAGCATCCCAATGAACTCCTGAGGCTGGGTAGAGATCATATTTGGACACAGGTTAGCATATCCTGCTATTGGCCTGTTAAAATAGACATTGAATTTTTTTATTATATTCCAGAAGTGTTTATTAAGATACTAACATATACTGCTCTATCAAAAACTGCTCAAGGACAGGAAAATCTCTACTTTTAAACATAATTTTGAGTTAACTTTCACTATCTTTAACTTTCACTTTTTAAAAAAAAAAAGTCAACATCTTGCTCCACAGCCCAGGCTGGCCGAGAACATTCGGCAATCCTGCCTCAGTTTCCCAAGTGCTAGGACCCTCGGCATGCACCAGGCCCAGCTGACTTTCACTACCTTCTACTGTGAGAAGGTACACCTTCTATGCTTCCAAGCCCAGCAAATGAACACCAAAGCAAACATGGAAAACTTACATTCCAATGCTATTTTACTTAGAAGAGCCAAATGTAGTTTTCAGATTCACCACATTTTGAGCTGCAAAGACAAACATGCAGGGAGGGAAACTGCATGTACACTAGACCCTCAGCAAGCAGCTCAGGTGGCCGAAAGTACAGGGCTTCCTGACCTCTGCCATGCCCACCTTTCCTGTTTTCCTGCCCCCAACCTGCCCACCTTCCCACCCTCTTTTCTTGAGCTCCAGAGTCTACGCAACCTCACATCCCTGCCTGTGTAGGACCTGATGGGCCAGAGGCCTGAGACCCACAGTCCAGGGATCGGGAAGGTTCCACCTCGGGCCTGCCTGACCTCAGAGCCAGAGCCAAGTGACAAAGCCAAGGAACCCCAGGGCACATTCTTCCACCCCTACCTCAAAGGTCTGCCATCCCAACCACATGACAAGTACCTGTCTACAAAGAACATCCACTTTATGTCAATGAAAAAACACTGTATTTCTCTATATTCAGAAGTACTAAAACCTATAAAGTATGAATATAAGTTACTTATCAAGCGCACTCATGGGGACTTCCAAATACAACATGCTCCTGCCAGGCCCACAGCCCCTGGGATGTGTGACAGAACTCAGAACAGGAGAGCCTCTCCAACCTTCCGCCCTGCCATGTGGTGGCCACAGAGTGGCTACGACAACAGCGGGTCACACGCTCTCCTGACACAAGCTCGCTCCCAGCCTCACCAGCATTCCAGGGCACAGCTGAATTTCTCCCTTCCAAGAGGGCTTCTCTGCCCCCCTGATGGAAATGATACTTGCCCCCTTGTCCTCTTGTACATCATGGCATCCTGTACAAAGCACTTTTCTATAAAACACTTACGGTGTTTTAAGGTCACAGATTTATTTGCAAGTGGCTTTTGGTGTGTGTGTGTGTGTGTGTGTGTGTGTGTGTGTGTGTACTGGGAACCAACTCAGGACCTTGTGTTTGCTAGGCAGGCATGGTGCCACTGAGCTGTATCTCCAGCCCTGGAGGTGCTTTAACCAGTGCCTGTGTCCCTGTGTGATATGTCAGCTCCGCAGAGCAGACACAGGGGCTCGCTTAGTTCTCCTAGGCTGGTGCCCAAATACTTGGCATCAGGAATGAAGTTTGTAGTACATGGGCGCAGACTCCATCAAAAAGATTCAAAGGGCACAGATGAAGAGACTGCACTGCTCTTTCTGCCAAATCCATATTGCTGTCTGAGAGACCGAGCTCCTCCAAAGAGGCCCAGAGCTGTGCGTGAGTGGTTCAGTCTCACATCGCAGCACACGCCTCTCATTCCAGCGACTTGCTCCTGTCAGTGGGAACCGAGGCCCAGTGGCCCTGACCAGCTCCACTTCTGTGGGCGGCCTGGGTGCCCTGTGTTAATGTTCACCACTCTCTTGACTCAGAAAATCCTGCAAGTCAAAAGGTTCAAGGGCCCAGGAGATAGCTCAGTGGAATAAGTGCTTGCCCAGCAAGCGCAAGGTCCTGAGTTCAATCCCTGGTACCACTAGAAAAAAAAGTTCAAAGCTTTGCATTCACTCAAGAACACAGGTGAAACGGCCCAGGTCACCGCAGGAATACATATCTAAAACACCGAGAACCTGAAGGGTATCAACGCTAAAGAAGCCACGGCAGTGCCAGAGCTGTTTGGTGGCCTGGCCAGCAGCTGGGCTGGACACAGGGTCAGAGGCCCAAGAAGAGTGCTAAGTCTGCCGCACAGACTGACAAAAGAGTGCAGTGGGAGCCCCAGGTCTCCGTGCAGTGGCCCTCGCCTCCAGTGTTCACAGGGCTCCCACCACCTGCTCTGGAAAGGGGCCAACTGTCACTAAGCCACAGTGAGAGGCTACGCACACGACACAGCCAGCAAGAAGCCAGAGAGATGAACACGAAGGGTACAGGGAAAAATTCAGCATAAAAATAAATTCAAATGAAAGTAAAAAAATACAACAGTGTTCTAACATTCTTCTGACACTAGTGTATTCAAAACAAGATCGTGTGTTGTTTGTGTACATGTGTGTATGTTTTCCATATAAATTGGTTACAGCTAAGATAACTGTGATTTCCACATCACTACTGTGGAAAAAGGAATTCTCAGACATCTATTTTAAGAGTTTCATATGTTATCAAGTAGCTTAATCTGCCATTCATTTGGCACTTCAAATAGCAAAGTCCACTGACACCGAGCCACCTTTCATTAAAGACATAAACTTCAAGGCATTTTCTCCAGGAGAAAGGAGCATCAGCACACATGCCTACAAAAAGGCACACTGCTCTCCTCATACCAATGCAGCCAACAGCCGGCGCTCAGCTTTTTCCATGTTCAGGCTACAGACTTGTGAGCCAATTTCACCAATCAACACTTCTATGTTTGCAGGAACAGACTGCTCTTCCTCAACCACACTGGCAATGTGAGCTTCCTGAGCTTTTTAGGACTGACAACAACATGGTTCTGAACAGGGGAGCATTTTCCTCTATGGTCTACTCAGTTCAACTAAGAGTTTCAATTTTTCCCTCACATAAATTATACAGCAATATGGCCAGGGAGATGGCTCAGCAGAGTAAGCGCTTGCCTGGCAAGTGCAAGGGCCTGAGTTCAACCCCTGGTTCTGCCAAAAAAAAAAAAATAATAATAATTATACATCAATAGAAGGGAAAGGGCTCTTTGAAGTCAGCAGGGTCCAGGCCTGATGGCACACACAAGTAATGTTAGCACTTCAGAGGCCAGAGGCTGAGGTGACATTGAGTTCAAGGCCAACCTAAACCAATTAGCAAGACCCTGTCTCCAAAACTAAAAACAGCAGTCAGCAAACCCTCTCACACGTCAGCAGCTGCTTGGCACCCTGGCAATGGTCTATGTGCACTTGAACTGGTCAACCCCCCACCCACCCTGCGTGAGAATTTTACACACAACCTTTCTGAGATCTGCTGTGTGACAGGAAACCTTCGTATATATTATCAGTTTTCATTTTAAGGCTGGGCTGCTTCATTGGGAAACATTTTTTTGAAATCTTCTGGAAATAATGAAAACTGTACTTTGAAGTGGTAAGGTAAGTGAAGCACATGTAACAAATGACAACTGAATTTGTTTAAAATTTTAGCATAGGGGCTGGGGATATAGCTCAGCAGCGTAAGTGCCTGCTTGGCAAGAGCAAGGTCCTGAGTTTGATTCCCAGTGCCAAAAAATTAAAAATAAAATTCTAGCATGGAGGTGTTGAGAGTTCAAATTATTTCTTACAGACATATTCACCTTGAAAGAAAATTTCCTCCTTTTTTTTGGCTTTTTGAGACAGGATCTTACCCTGACTCAGACTGGCCTAGAACATGTGGTGATTCTCCCAAGTGCTGAAAGAAATTGTTTTGACAAGCAGCCATTTTCTTTGGAATTTCCAGGTGAAAAGGACAGGACAGAGCCAGGTACCCTGGCATGCACCTGTAACCCCAGCACTCAGGAGGGCGAGGCAGGAGAATTGCCTGCTTTCCTCTCATCCTGCCTATAAACTCCCGGTACATACAAGTAACAACCCTGTGGCTGGCCCCACACACCCCATCCAGGCAGCAAACTGTCTGTTCCTCTGAGCACTGCGGACACCAGCTTCCTGGCAGCAGCCACAGAAGAGAGCTGCTGGAAGGCTGTGCCAGGCCCTGGGAGGACGTTACCTGTCCATCTCTGCTTCCTGCTGACAGTAGGCTGCATAAGAGATGATGTTTTCATGGCTGCATCTCTCTGTGGCCAAAGCACCGACGTAAAGGACGAAGTCTGCATCCCGGACGCCCTCCTGCTCCAGCTCACCCACTGCTGCGCAGGGCCACTTCCCCCCACGGCAGACCCTGCATGGCTGCCCATGGGCACAGAAAGACCAGAGACTGGGTCAGCAGGAGAGCACTGTGAGCTCCTGGGGAAGCTAGACTCTAAGTATTAGGTGGATTCTATTCACTGCCTCCAGACTTTTGTAAAGCCATACGGCACCAGACACAGAATCTGTGGTCTCAGGGATTGGGAGGCTGACGCGGAAAGACGCCCTGAGGCTAACTTGGGCAACATGGCAAGATTCTGTCTCAAAAGGAAAAAAAAAACCCAAATCCATAACCCATCTCTCTCAACTCAAAGCCTGTGTCTCATATTCAATTTATTGTACTAAAACTTCTACACAAAATAATCTTGGTGAGGGCCAGGGAGATGGCTCAGT